GTGTATGGCTGTGTAACCAGGAATGGCATAGACATCTGTAGTATCAGGCTTTAGCCAGGTTTCAGTTAGTGTAATGATGGACATATTGGCATGCAAGGAATTTAGTAATGCTAGGAGGTCATCATAATGCTTGCTTAAAGATCTGATATTGTAGTTAAAGATAGTTATGTTGTTGTTGGCTCTGAGAAGTGCCTTTGATTGTTCTGCTGTGTAGTAATTACAGTAATTGTTTGAATCATTTAAGTCATTAAATAAGAGGTTGGTATCAGGATCAATGCTTGTAATCATAAGATTTGTAGTGAATCTATAGTTAGAATTAAGTAAAAAATAAAGTAAATATTCTAAAGCTAAAAAAAAAAAAAAAAAAAAAAGCACCTGAATTATTTAACAAATGTAAAAAATAATGAGCTAAGGTAGTTTTTTAAAGCTAAAATAAAGGAGACAATATAAAAGGGACTAAAATAATTTGTGGTGAACAAATAAAGTGATGATCAAATAATGGAGCTTGGGAATATGATTGTAGGTAGTACTTTAAAGGTAATTCTTTAAAGTTAGAATTATAATATAAAATTATAATATAAAAGGGACTAATATAAGTTGTGGTGAACAATAAAGTGGTAATCAAATAAATGAGCTTTGGAGTATAATGGCAGAATAGTGAACTTATTAACTTTAGCACCTGAGAATAGCACCTTGATTAGTTTAACAATTGCGAATATATGATCTAAGGTAGTTATATAAAGCTAAAATAAAGGACAAAAAAATATATAAGGGACTACAATTAGGTAATGGTAAACAAGTTAAATGGACAGATAGTCACTATGAGATAATATTGGTTTAGGAGTAAGATCTGATCGTAAGAAAGCTGGTCATTGGCAAGAATATGCAGGGTGTGCTTCACCACAATTGGTTGAAGGATGGATTATGATGATAAAATGCATTGCACAGTGGGCATCTCTCCCACAGGAAGGGTATGGGTGCATAATACAGATATTAAACCAAACTACACAGTGGGCATTCTGCTCATGATCTGCAATATTTGGCTGGATGGCCAAAGTGCCAGCATTGTTGCCAGTCTGAGTTCCCTTGCCTGTAAATGCTGTCCCATAAAGAAAATGAGGATTGAAGATCTTGGCAATCAACATTACTCAGATAACACCTGACTGGAAAATGCAGTTATAAGCTTCTACTCGGGTAAGAGGGAGTTTTCAGAATTTGTTGTTCATGAATGTCCAAGCCACATTGTGTAAATTCTTTTTGTATTATAGTATGTGGGATGAGGACAGTTCCACAGCATGATTTGAGGAAGGAATGTCTTTGTATTGTGACAGGGATGTCATCGATAGAATAAATGCTGAAAAAGTTGTTGGCCTGTTCTGCATCATGCTTGGCAACACTGCACATTCCACTTGAGGGCACTGAAGGATATATTTTGACTGACATGGCTTTGACAATGCCATGATCTGTAAGGTAATCTGTAACTGTTGTTGACTGAATGGAAAAGAATTTTGCCCTAGATTGTCTTTGAGGGGAAGAAGGTTTTCAGGTACTGTTGTGTACCTTCAGATGTGAGCAAGAAGTTTACTTTAATTATAATATCAGGATCGTCTTGTATGTACAATAGATTCAAACCATTTTGTCTTGTGGGGATTGAATGTTTTGAAAATTGCTGCCTGCTGCATTGTGAGAGAGGCTGGGGTCAAGGTCAAAGTAGAGTGAAAGTCAGAGGTATCAAAAGAATCAGGGGAAACACCAATACCTGGGTCAGTCATCAAAGGTTTGTCCAAAAATGACACTAGGTTCCAAGAAGAGTCCATGGGTATACAGGGGTCATCAGCAGAGTGTACAGGAAGATTATTATCTATGCAAAACAAGTAATTATCTTCAGCTCTATATTCTCCACCCACCAACAGCTGTTGATTGAAATAAATGCTCAATTGCTAGAGCACCCAGCTTACACACACTGAGGTCTAGGGGTCAATCCCTGGTATGGCTGGAAATATTAGGATGTGTTTCCTTAAGACACCTGCTGTCCAAGTTCACCTATCAGTAAAATAAGTACCTGGGCATTAGTTGACTGGAGTGGGTCGCACCCTGGGACAAAACTGACCTAATTTACCCAAAATGCTCTGCATAACAAGGGGGGATCTATATAGAGAAATTGTACCTAGAGTTTCGAACAGCTCCCAGCTTGAACAATTATGTAAGTGTATTTTTGGGGGTCTGAAATGGACTAATCTAATTTACATTATTCCTTATGGGAACAAATTCGTTTGGTATCAGCATTCTAATAGCCTTCTGGAACGAATTAAGTTCGTAACTCGAGTACCACTGTACATCATTGATGTCAGATAGGCCTGTATACCTTGTACATGTACTTGTAGAAATAAAGATATTATTATTCTTATACGTGAGTGACCAAGTGTCCAAAATGGCAGCCACAGGACCAGAAGGGTGCCACTCACTGTTGTTCACTTGGCCTCACCCATGTCACCCACCTTGAGAGCTATGTTAAACCAGCACATTGATTCAAGCTGAGCCAGCACAGAACCTTTTGGCTTTCATCCTCTTACCACAGAAGCTTGTTGTCTACATGCAGCTCCACTGACTTGATCAACTGGATTCAGCAAGAAAAAAGGAATTTACAGACCACCATGCATGGCAAACTCAAGGCAGTGTTTAGTTTGGTCTCCACATATCATGACCATCCTGAAAAAAACAGTATGGCCATGACAGCAAAGACCATAATTCCCCACCAGGTGTAAAGGACCTGCCATTCGGGTATGGACACTGAAGCTGCCTGACCTCTGTGGAATGATTTTTGAGATTGCTAAAAGGGAAGCTTCTAAGCATTTCCATTGGCCTAAGTAATTTTCACAGATGACTAGCTTCACATCATATCTTTCACACATTCCTTGTTGCTTGTGTTCTTCACAGGCATTGCTTAGATCTAATTACAAATCCTCAATTTAAAGGATCGTGCCATTCCACCTACTTAACTCTTGTTACATATTTCTGCACTAGTGGATGGGTCTGTTCTCTGCTTCTTATGAACTAAATCTTTGATAGAGATGTAAGACTTGATAACTGTTTTAAGTTGGTTGTTGGAAATATTACCTAATATGGTTGATACCACAATGCTGACTAACAGTACAGTTATGCCCTTCTGTTGTATTACTACTACTATTACAGTAGAACCCCGGTTTTCATCCTTAATCTGTTCCAGAAGGTCGATCGAAATCTGAAATGGACGAAAATCGAAGTAATATTTCCCATAAGAGATAATGTAAATCCAATTAATCCGTTCCAGACACCCAAAAATATTAACAAAAAATACATTTCATAGAGAATAACTATAGGTTTACATACAGAAAACAATGAGAAATAAATATAAAGCACTAATTTTAATGGATAAATGAACATTTAGATCACTTTTATTGAAGACTCGTGTTGACATATTCTTTATGAGATCCGCATGCAACTGCCTTGCCTTTTCACAAATTATCGCCTCCACAACACTGTCTCCCACTAGCTGTTTTTCATTGATCCACACCAGCAACAACAGCTCAACAATCACTACCACCCTCTACCACCACCTTTTACTACCATCACCACCACCTTTTACTACCATCACCACCACCTTTTACCACCATCACCACCGCCCTTCACCACCATCACTACCACCCTTTACCACCACCACAACCACCCTCTACCACCAATGTTTCGGATGAACACGCAGAGCATTGCTCACTGAAAAAGTGACAGAGGCAGACTGAGCCACATGCGTGTGAATGGCCACGTCCCGGGCAGGCGGATGCATCTGATATGGACTGTTTCCGAGCAGAGGTACAAAACCTAGGCAAAATTTCACCCAAAAAAGTGGTCAAAATCCGAAATGTACGATATCCACACTGGACGAAATCCAGGGTTCCACTGTATATTCATTAGGGGTGGGGTGAGTGGACACTTAACACATAGGGGTCATACCATTCAATGTGTAAAAATAATATGAAATATCTATACATTTTTAATTTTTTGTAAAATAAGATTTTTCTCAAATTTTCTCATAAAATTATTCCTGGAGAATGGGAGGCACACAGGTTTAATCCAAAGAAGGAAAGAACAGATCAGTCCTTTAGATCAAGGCCTGTTGCCAGCATCAGGTTCTTCTGTGATTGAGATGCCGGTGTTTCTGCCAAGGATGCGTGTTTCCTAGTTCCTACAATCTGAGGTAAAGTGGAGGAAGGAGAGAGGGAAATATAGAAGGATGAAAGCCTTGGCAGATACACCAACAGCTCTACAACAGGAGGACCTACCAGATACATTGTGCTACAAGTCATCTGGTTGCTATATTTGGGTTGATCAGTAAATTTAAGAGGTTAACTTGGAGAAATGTTCTTATTAACATACACACATTACTTTATATGAAATGATCACAAGTTAATATTCTCACATACATCAACCTACACTATCTTAACCATTTCTCAGTGGTTAATAAATATCTTACTCTTTTAATTAGCAAAACTTCTTTCAAGGAAAATACTTTGATGGTAAAGAGCTCTTGTTCTGAGGAATTGGAGCTACCCTCTTCCTCAGATCAAACATTATTACTTCCTGTACCCCAGGATATGGCTTTCAAAACCAGGAAATAAGCTCCTCTGTAATAATTCAAGAATGAGTCTGGAACCTGTAAGCAAGTAATTAACACAAGTCAGTACCAATAGAATCTTTGCAGATGCATTGCAAAATATTGACAGCATAGTAAGGCACTGGTTGAAGAGGAGACTTCACTGGTACAACATTTCACCATAATATGGCTTTACAAACATGATTTATGAAGCCAGTTTGTGGTAAAATTTGTCCCAATAGACTTCAATGCAATCACTGTTTTACTCAAGTAAATTGTTGCCATTTTTTTTCTCCATGTAGGTTCACCTGTGATTATGTAAATATTTTTAATTTGACTTAGTTTCATATCCCCAAGAGTAATTAACAGCTGATATGTATTCTGAAGTTTATTTTTCATATAATTACAATGATTTCAAGTTTGATAGTCTAATTTTTTCACCTGTGCACAATTTAGTATGGAATTGTCATAAAAACATCACTGATCCTAAGTCCCATTTACACTGAAAGCAGACTTCAACTTGATGAACTTCATGTATTTCTTCAAGCTCTCCAAAATAGGGTTCTAGTAGTACACCGTCTTGTCTGAATGCTGATGCCTGTAGTGACGTAAGTTCCCAGTGCTAGGATGACTGTAGATGTATAGGGAAATCTGCAAGCTGATGATAGAAAGAGAAAACTGTTAACCAAATACATCCTAGTTGCATGGCTGAATATAACTAGTAACTTCATGAAAATCAATGAGCCTGAACAATGAAATAGTTTACCTGATATATTTTTTTTTTAATTTTATAACACGCTGGTTATTTCTCACCAAGGTAGGCTGATCTGAAAAAGAAACACTTTCACCATCATTCGCTCCGTCACTGTCTTGCCAGCATGCAGAGACTATAGTTCAGATGTACCTCCAAACTGCAAATATCCCCACCCCTCCTTCAGAGTGCAGGCATTGTACTCTACACCTCCAGGAATTGAGTCCAGCTAAGCAGTTTCCTTGAATCCCTTCACAAAATATTACCTTGTTCACACCTCAACAGCTCATAAAGTCCCAAAAACCATTGGCCTCCACTCCTATTTGACTCTCACACATGGTTCCTGGATGTCCAAGCTCCTCGCACACAAAACATTTACACCCCATTTCCCCAACCTTTTATTATTCACAAATATCCCAAACTTTGGAGAAGGAACTTCATATGATGTTTTGGTCTATCTGAGATGGGCGAGGACAAAATCAAGAGACAAATCAGGCAAAAAGGTAAGGAGAAAGTCTGAGGGTAAGTCAGGTGGCAAAAATTTCACAAAACAGGTCAGTAGCTGAAGAGAAAGTCAAGACAGAAGGGTCATGTCAGGTCACATGTATTCTGAAGATAAGCATTTGACACTGAAGACAGGCAAGTACTAACATAAGCAAAACTGGGACTAAGATTTATGATAGGAATGTTGTGCATAAGGGAAGATTTAACATAACTATATCTGTAAAAGCTAGAAAAGGTACAGACAAGTTTGACATAGGACCAGTTTATTCTTGTCATATTTATGAAAAAAAAAAACTAAGCCTGTGTGGGTGATTCAGAATTATAGCCTACATGACTTAAAAAAAAGTTGCTATTTTAAACCAAATGCAAGGCCAGAGTTGGTTTGCTTTTCCCATCATGCACTCTGTGGAGTAGGTTTTTTTTTTTTACTGTGCACACTCGCCACACAGACCCACAATCTCATGTCTAGGTCAAAATGTACCACTCACAGCTTAAAACGTAGATACATGTGAGCAATACTGACATCAGTAACATATATGTACATAATAGACAGCGAAAGGGTTAGCTACTACCAGTATGTGACCAGCTAAAAATCGTAAGTAATGGCTTTTTTTTGTGCTTAACAAAATTATATGACATGTAAAAGTATATTTTGTATACTGCAGAAAAAAGTAGTTTTTCTGTATTGAATTAGGTGCTCTAAAAAGAAAAAAGATAATGATAAAGAACAAAAAAGGCACAATACCATGACTTGAACAATACACACACAATCTGCACAATGGAGAGAAGCTTATGATGTTTCAGTCCAACTTGGGCCATGCTACTTACTACTACTACTACTACTAGCCTTACCACCACCACTACTACTTTTTCTTCCTCTCTTGGGCTCATTCTGTCCTCCTCACCTATATATACTGGCTTCATCATTCTTGTATTAGTGAGACTTTGTAAATGATTCAAGTCGGACCAAAATGTCGTCGTGAGCTTCTCTCACCAGTGTGGGGGTATTTGTGAATGATAATGATAGCTTATATCAAATTCAAGCATTTTGCCACACTATTTATAAGTACTTACAGAAGGAGCATTCATATTTAGCTGTTTGCAAGCATTTTTAAAAGCTTTTTGTGCATCATTAAAATCTTTTTCCTTGTTACTCTTGTATATCAGGCGAAACCGTCTTTCTTGAAATCTGTAAAAGGAGAAAATTGCTATGAAAACTGAAAGCAATATATATGACAAATTTAGTCCAGAACATTACATAGAAATAGCAGTTATTCATTTAAGTTTTCAGTAATTATAATTTTGTAATAAAGTTGGTAGAATTACCGACAATATGTAAAGTAAAAGGACACAAGTGCAACTAATGTGACATTTATTGTGGCAACGTTTCGCTCTCCAGGAGCTTTATCAAGCCATTTATCAATGGCTTGATAAAGCTCCTGGAGAGCGAAACGTTGCCACAATAAATGTCACATTAGTTGCACTTGTGTCCTTTTACTTTAATTATAATTTTATTTTTTTCAACGAACTGGCTGTATCCCACCAAGGCAGGGTGACGTAACAAGAAAAATGAAAGTTTCTCTTTTTAAATTTAGTAATGTATACAGGAGAAGGGGTTACTAGCCCCTTGCTCTTGTCATTTTAGTCACCTCTCATAATGCTCATGGCTTATGGAGGCATGGCATCATTAAAATCCACTTCCTCATGGAGTGTATGTATTTTACATGCTATTATTATTAGTAATAGTAGTACAGTGGTCCCCCGGTTCGCAAAGTCATCGGTAACTGATAAATCCTGTATCCGAAGCATTGTATCACAAAAATTTGCCTCAGTTCCCGTTACAAAATCCGGTATGCGATACGATTCGTACGAGACGTGTCCACGTGTGGCCTGAACTGCCCTGTGTGTGCCAGTGTTTACAAGCCAGCCAGTGTGCGCACATCTAAGGATACATTCGGTACATTCCATATAATCCATATTATCACTGTTTTTGGTGCTTGTTTCTACAAAAATCACCATGGGCCCCAAGAAAGCTGCTAGTGCCAACCCATCGAGACCAAGGGTGCTAATGACTATTGAAATGAAGAAAGAGATAATTGCAAAGTATGAAAGTGGAGTGCGTGTGTCAGACCAGACCAAGTTGTATAGTAAATCCCAATCAACCATCTCTACTATAGTGAGCAGGAAAATGGCAATCAAGGAAGCTGTTCTTGCAAAAGGTGCAACTGTGATTACAAAACAGTGATTGCAAGTGTTAGAAAATGTTGACTGTTATTGGTGTGGATAAATGAAAATCAGATAGCAGGAGATAGTATCTCTCAAGCGATCATTTGTGAAAAGGCTAGGCAGTTGCATGAGGATTTAATTAGAAAAATGCCTGCAACTAGTGGTGATGTGAGTGAATTTAAGGCCAGCAAAGGTTGGTTTGAAAGATTAAAGAAACGTAGTGGCATACATAGTGTGATTAAGCATGGTGAGGCTGCACTTCAGATCAAAAAGCAGCTGAAAAATATGTGCATGAATTCAAGGAGTACATAGAGGCTGAAGGATTGAAACCTGAACAAGTGTTTAATTGTGACGAAACAGGCCTGTTTTAGAAGAAATTGCCAAGCAGGACTTACATTACTCAGGAGGAAAAGGCACTCCCAGGACATAAGCCTATGAAAGACAGGCTTACTCTGTTGATGTGTGCCAATGCTAGTGGCGATTGCAAAGTGAAGCCTTTATTGGTGTATCACTCAGAAACTCCCAGAGCATTCAGGCAAGAGAATATCCTCAAGGCTAATTTGTGTGTGCTGTGGAGGGCAAACACTAAGGCATGGGTCACTAGGGACTTTTTCTGTGACTGGTTACACCATGCATTTTCCCCCACTGTGAAAAATTTCCTAATTGAAAAGAAATTAGACCTTAAGTGCCTCCTGGTGTTAGACAATGCCCCTGGTCATCCAACAGACTTGGCAGAGCGACTTTGTGGGGACATGAGCTTCATTAAGGTCAAGTTTTTGCCTCCTAATACCACTCCTCTCCTGCAGCCCATGGACCAGCAGGTCATTTCCAACTTCAAGAAACTGTACACAAAAGCAATGTTTGAAAGGTGCTTTGAAGTGACCACAGATACTCTATTGCCTCTAAAGGAGTTTTGGAAGGATCACTTTAATATCCTCAATTGTGTAAACCTTATAGGTAAGGCTTGGGAGGGAGTAACTAAGAGGACCTTGAACTCTGCTTGGAAGAAACTGTGGCCAGAATGTGTAGACAAAAGGGGTTTTGAAGGGTTTGAGGCTAACCCTTGGAATCCTATGCCAGTTGAGGAATCCATTGTGGCATTGGGAAAGTCCTTGGGGTTGGAGGTTAGTGGGAAGGATGTGGAAGAGTTGGTGGAGGAGGACAATGATGAACTAACCACTGATGAGCTGCTAGATCATCTTCAACAGCAAGAGGCCAGACCTGAGGAAACTGCTTCAGAGGAGGGGATAGAGAAATTGACAAAGTTGCCTACTTCAAAGATTAAAGATATGTGTGTGAAGTGGCTTCAAGTGCAAACCTTTTTCGATGAAAATCACCCTGACACAGCTACTGCAAGCCTTGTTGGCAACCTGTACACTGACAATGTTGTGAGCCACTTTAGGAAAGTCATAAAGGAACGAGAGGTACAGGCCTCTATGGACAAATGTGTTGTGCGACAGAAGTCCAGTGACTCTCAAGCTGGTCCTAGTGGCATTAAAAGAAGGGAAGTAACCCCGGAAAAGGACTTGCCGCCTCAAGTCCTAATGGAGGGGAATTACCCTTCTAAACATTAAAAACTTCAACACTCTCCCCTCCTCCCATCCCATCAATCATCACTTACCATTAAAGGTAAGTGTCAATTATTCTATTGTTATTATTGTTATTGTAATTATTCTATTGCATTAAACTTAATATTTCATGTGGTAAAAGTTTTTTTTTTTTTCATACTTTTGGGTGTCTTGCACGGATTAATTTGACTTCCATTATTTCTTGTGGGGAAAACTGATTCGCTTTCTGATAATTTTGCTTTACGATGAGCTCTCAGGAACCGATAAATAACGTGAACCAGGGGTCCACTGTATAATCAAGGGGCAAGCGCTAAACACGTAGGATTATACAGCGCTTGTGGAAGGATGTAGAAGGTATTCAGGTTTAATTCAGGGAATTGGAGCACAGATCCAATTCCCTAGATCAAGAGCACCTCAGCAACATCAAGGAACCTTCCTTGAGGGGTTTACATGCTATATACTTGTATAAAAAAGGAATCTTGCAAAATCTCAGGAGGAAGAATAGAAACCTTAAATATTGTTATAAAATACTGTATCAGTACAGGCATACCTCACTGATACACTGCACACTTTAGAGCGCTTTGCTAATACGGTACTTTTCAATTACATTCATGTTTATTATTTTCATCGCTTGCCTTGCTCTTCAGATAGTTTTTGACAACTTTCAAAAAAAAATTACAGTGGAACCTCCACTTGCGAGCGCATCCACGTGCAAGATTTTCCAAATACAAGCAGTCACTCAGTCGATTTTTTGCTTCCATATGCAAGTGAAATTTCCATAAGCGAGCAGGCCTCAAGGTAGGTTCCTTGACACTGGTGAGAGGCTCTTACTCTTGATCTAGGGAATTGGATCTCGCTTGTTTATTGGACTATCTTATTGAAACTTGGGAAATGTATGTATGATGGAAAGATGCTTCTTAACGTACACCAAGAATGAAAGAAGTCGGACCATAAATAACGGAGTCCACTTCTCAGCCATTAGCCACCCCTTAGCAGTATTTTCGTATGATTTTTATGATTGCATTCTTGTTTTGTTGGTCTCGTCTGTTAGAATGGAAGATATATTACAGGGATAGATTTTGATTGGTTTCACGATGAAAAGTACCTTAAAATTGAGCTCAAAGTAGCAGAAATGTTCGATTCTTTGGCGATGTTCAGGAGCAAACAAATGTCACTGTCCATTCCAATATGCAGTCATGAATGGGCTGACATTATTTATACAATTATTACAATAATGCAGTAGTATGCATAACAGTAAATCTTCAATTTTTTGTGTGAATAAAAATTACAAAACATATACAGTGGACCCCCGCCTTACGATATTAATCCGTTCCTGAGAGCTCATCGTGAGCCGAAATTATCGTAAGGCAAATTAATTTTCCCCATAAGAAATAATGGAAATCAAATTAATCCGTGCAAGATACCCAAAAGCCTGAAAAAAAAAAAATTTACCACATAAAATATTAATTTTAATACACACAAACTTAAGAAGACATGCACAATTAATACTCTACTAAGAATAGAATACATGACACTTGCCTTTATTGAAGATCTGGTGATGATTGATGGGATGGGAGGAGGGGAGAGTGTGGAAGTTGTTACTGTTTAGAAGGGGAATCCCCTTCCATTAGGACTTGAGGTATCAAGTCCTTTTCCGGGGTTACTTCCCTTCTTTTAATGCCACTAGGACCAGCTTTGTCACTGGACCTCTGTCGCACAACAAATCTGTCCATAGAGCTCTGTACCTCCCGTTCCTTTAAGATTTGCCTAAGATGGGCCACAACATTGTCACCAGCACAGCTTGCAATAGCTGTGTTAGGGTGCTTTTCATCCATAAAGGTTTGAAGTTCAACCTACTTTGCACACATTTCCTTAATCTTTGAAGTAAGCACAATGGATTCCACAACTGGCAAAGGCTTCTCAGGGTTAGCCCCAAACCCTTCAAAATCTTTCTTAATTTCCATACTAATTCTCACCATTTTTACCACAGGGTTGGCACTAGAAGCTTTCTTGGGGCCCATGGTGACTTATTTTGCAGTTACAAACACAAAAAACACTGGGATAAGGTGAAATGTACCGAATGTATGCGTGGATGCGACCGCACTGGCTGGCTTGTAAACACTGGTGCTGAGGCCACACGTGGGATGCGTCCTGGACGAATCGCGTGAGGCGAGGCAAAATTTTTGCGTTAAAATGTATCGTATGGCAGACTTAACGTAACTCAATGCCATCGTAAGGCAGGGGTCCACTGTAATGTAATAATAATAATAATAATAATAATAATAAATAATAATAATAATAATAATACATATAATAACAGTATAATAATAATAATAATAATAATGCATAATAATAATGTCCTATATAATAATAATGCATGTATAATAAAATTTAATATTTAGTGAAGGGATTCAGGGAAACCGGTTATTTTCATATAGTCGGACTTGAGTCCTGGAAATGGGAAGTACAATGCCTGCACTTTAAAGGAGTGGTTTGGGATATTGGCAGTTTGGAGGGATATGTTGTGTATCTTTATACGTATATGCTTCTAAACTGTTGTATTCTGAGCACCTCTGCAAAAGCAGTGATAATGTGTGAGTGTGGTGAAAGTGTTGAATGATGAAAGTATTTTCTTTTTGGGGATTTTCTTTCTTTTTTGGGTCACCCTGCCTCGGTGGGAGACGACCGACTTGTTGAAAAAAAAAAATAAATAATAAAATTGTACCAAATAATAATTATAATAATAGACGGCTTCAAAAGGCCATCACTAGATGGCAGTGATTACTACAACAATGCAGGAGCAGTAGTGGCCACCTCCACCTGTCACATAATGACATTTTATTCATTCTAGAGTATATATCCGGTTTCTGTTATTTATATTGTTTGTCATATTAGATGAATTGTGACGAGTAAATGAGCCATATAGATGATATTAGCGAAATACTGAAGTATCTTGTTGTGCCTCCTGAGAGCTGAGAATGGATTAATTGCATTTCAATTAATTTAAATTAGGAAAATTGACTCTGCAAATGAGCAAATCCAGATGCGAGCAAGGACACGGAACAGATTAAACCGTAAGTAGAGGTTCCATGTATTATTATTTTTACTTGTGCATCTTTTTTTAGGCATAGTGCTATTGTGCACTTAATAATACAGTCAGATTTCGTATGCCCTAGATTTCATGAGATTCAGTTTTCGACAAATTTTTTCCTTGAAATTTTGTCCCAGTTTTCATACATCCACTCAGTTTTCATACAGTTGAAAATGGTCAGTACCAAACGTGTCTCCATGACTGACACTCATTTCCCAGAATCAAGTGCCCACACAAAGCATCCCATGCAATCATGACTCAGTCTGCCTTTGTTTCTTGAGTGAGCATCACCCCGCGCGTTTATCCGAAAAATTTCATAATAATCCATTGTTGTGGAATCTATTGTGTCTTTGGGGAAGTCCATAGGGTTGAGTGTGAGTGACCAGGATGTGGAAGAATTGGTGGATGACCACAGGGAAGAGGTAACCACTGAAGAGCTGCCAGACCTTCAAGTGGAACAGCAACAGACTGCAGCTGAGGAAATTGCTTCAGAGGAGGAGGAGGAAGAGAGAATGGAGAAAGTGCCTTCTTCAGTGATTAAGGACATGTGTGCAAAGTGGAATGAGTTGCAAAGTTTTGTGGAGAAATATCACCCTAACAAAGCTGTTGCAAGCCATGTCTGCAACATGTTCAATGAAAATGCCTTGTCCCATTTTAGGCAAGTCTTCGAGACTCCAGAAACAGACCTCTCTGGACAGACTTTTTGTACGATAGGAGTCCAGTGACTCTCAAGCTGGTCCTAGTGCCAGTAAAGACAAAGAAAGGAAGTAACCCCAGATAGGGCCTTGATACTTGAATTCCTTATGGACAGGGATTACCCTTCCAAACAATTACCTCTCCTCCTCCCTCTTCCCTCCTCACCATCTTCCATATGCCAACAAGAGTCTTCAATATAGGTAAAAGTGATGTTAACTGTTCATTTATCCATTCCATTAGTCATTTACACTTCTCATTGTTTTCTGTATGTAAAACTATAGTTATTGTCTATAAAATGTATTTTCTGTTAATATTTTTGGGTGTCTGGAATGGATTAATTTGATTTACATTATTTCTTATAGGAAATATTGCTTCAGGTTTCATACGATTCAGTTTTTGTCACACTTTTTCGAATGGATTAATCACAAAAACCGAACTTCCACTGTAGTGTAAACATGTTTTTAGGATTTTACTTGCACTGGCAAGTGAAAAAAGGACATTTCACTTTAAGGCGAGAGTCAATTTATGGTGGTGATCTGGAACATAACCTGAGTATGAATGAAGTATGCCTGTATACATAATTAAACAAACAAAACCTATTTCTATAAAGTGGGGTACTGTACAATATACAATTATGGTAACTGACATGTATAAGCATTTTGGAAAGCCTTAAAACTAACATAATTACTATACAATGAGGCACATATAGTACATGAGAATAAAAATATACATAGTTTTTACAGTATAGAAGGTTTTCAGTAATTTAAAAAAAAGTTTTAATTAGAGATACATTAAGGATGAAGCTATATAGCTGAACTGATATATTAAAGACGAAGCTATGTACCTGAACTGATGCAAGGTAAAACAGCCTTTCTAATAGTAAATGAGAGTTGAAAGAAGGATGGAACAAGAACAGGGACAATATTAGATGAAAGACAGGGTTTCCAGATTTGTTTGGTTTCAACATGGTGAAATTACCATTTATGTGAAGAAAATATCCTGTAGGTGTATGAGTGGAAGCATCAGGATAAATCAGAGTAAAATATGGGTGTTTTCCTGGGATCAGTACTAGGACCACTACTGTTTCTGAGTTATGTAAATGATTTGCCAGAGGTAATATAGTCCCGTGTCATATTCAGCTATGATGCTAGTTGTGATGCAAATAGTCTAAAAAACTAAGTTGAAGAATGAGACACTTGTGCAACACTTGGGAATCTTTAATGAGGAAATGTCTCGCCAGCCAGTGGCTTCTTCTCAAATGTTAATCATTCCATTGTGTCTGCCTTAGGTTAATAATCAAAACTGTGATTCTTCTCTACCAAACTTATTAAAGCCATATAGCATGAACTAATAGAATATTCAGTTTTTTTGCATTCACTGTAACTTGCTTAATGACCATATGTACAGTTATTGCACTGTTATTGCCTTGTTAATCTTAAGTTGGCCCAAAATGCTCTGGACATAAAGGGGCTTTTGGCATGTACATCCAACTGTTATACTCCTTTGTACAACCATGTATCATGCTAAAATAAAAATTATTATTATTATTATAAAGATGAGGAGAGGTTTGAGGTAATCAGTCCCTTGGCTTGACTTAGGGACTTACATTTGTGCCTTTTTTGTTATTTATCTTTCTAATTCTTAAATTAACAAACAGCTCAGGAGAATTTTCTTAAAGATGCTGGCCATCTCCCACCAAGGCAAGGTGACCCAAAAAAAAAAAAAACACTTTCACCATCATTCACACAATCATTGTCTTTGCAGAGGCACACAGAAATGACAGTTCAGATGTCACTCCAAACAGCAAATATCCCAAACCCCCTCCTTTAAAGTGCAGGCATTGTTCTTCCCACCTCCAGGACTCAAGTCCAGCTAACCGGTTTCCTTGAATCCTTTCACGAAATATTACACTGCTCATACTCCAATGGCTCATCAGGTCCCAGAAACCATTTGTCTCCATTCACTCCTATCTAACATGCTCACACATGCCTGCTGTATGTCCAAGCCCCTTGCACACAAAACCCCTAGAAATATCCCTAAGAATATAGTCTCATATACCATAAGTATATCATACCTCTGAGGAAGCATTGAAGAGATTTCTTCCTCCTGAATTTTCCTGGCTTCATTTGGTGAGTTTTTGCTATAAAATCGTATATATTCTATTGGGTTTTTCTCTCCCAAACCATAATTAAATCGGACTTTTTGGATGCCAAGTTCTTCTCTTTCTAGCGAGCTTTCCTCTGGAATGTTACTTGATATAGTGTCCAGGAGTTTCTCTTGACTCTGTAAATATTGCATGTCAACAGCATCACAATATACTGTATGTCAGAAAATAATTCTTAATTAAAAATCCAAAATTTCAAAATTTAACTGATAGTATGTAAGAGGCCTGAGTGTAAGTGTTGAAAACATATCCAAGAGTATGTTTCCATACACCAGTTGTCCATGTTTACCCATCAGTAATGATGGGTACCTGGGTGTTAGTTGACTGGTGTGGGTTGCATCCTGGTACAAAATTGACCTAATTTGCCCAAAATTCTCTGCATAACAAGCAGCTTTCTATGTAGTAGTATGTCATTGATGTCAGTTAGGCCTGTATACCTTGTACATGTACTTGTAGAAATAAAGATATTATTATTATTATTAATTACAGTATATTGTTTTACCAACGAGAAATATACCTAGATTCACTTAACAAAATTCTACCAAATAAATTCTATTATAGATTAGCATGATACACTATATAAACCTGAAGTACTGTACCAGATATTGGCTTAATCTCTTAATACTGCTTGGAAATAGAAGATGGGTAATCCACATTAAGCCTCGAGTACAAAATTTAAGTTGTCTTGATTGATTTCCTAAAATTAAATTTTGCGAATGGAACTGCAACAACACACATTCGTGTACAACTGAATATTTTGGCAGGGGTTTGGGATTGATCTATACAGGAAACTGACCTGTATTAGTACATGTATACATATGGTAAGGCAATAAAAGGATACGAGACAATAAAGATTTCATAAAACAATCAGCAGTGAGAATAAGATACCACAGTTGTAAAAGGTAGTGTCAGAAGAAGAACAGATAGTGCTAGAATAGTGGAATTTGATCTAGGAAAAGACAGAATTTGATCTAGGAAAGGATGTTAAGTACTGTACTAACACCACTGGAAACTAAAAAATTATTTGCTAAAGACCATTTGTATCTATGAGAGAAAAAAAATAAAAAGAGTTAACTACTTTACAGTATGTGTTATAAGTATACATGTGCATAAGTAAGCTTTAACCAGACAATTTGCATGACAGTTTCGAGAAGTGCCAAGGCAACTTTTGTATGGAAAACTGTGCCCCTTGCCATACTGTCCAAGACAAAGAACTGGCTAAATTACTGTGATTTACTATACTTTATGACTGGCCTGCAAACTCGAGGGACTTAAATCCAATAGAGAACATTTAAAACCTTATGAAATGTAAGGTTTGTGGCATGGATGTGCCCTCTAACCCCCTAAATCTTGAGTGAAAGTAAGCAGATTTGGGGAGGTACTGACTCTGTCTATCCTCCAAAAGTTAGCCTCATCACTATCTAGGTGATTCTAGGAGATTTAACCCTTAAACTATCCAAACGTAGATCTACGTTTTCACTGCCAGCGCTCTGAATATTTTGAAAAATAATTTTTTTTATTTTTTAAATTAAAGAGGGCAATTTTCTGTGTTATAAGATAAGAAAAAAAAAATTAGGACTAGTATTTACCAAAATATAAGACCGCGAAGTTGATGCTGGATGCTTACCTGACAGCAAAATGGAGTTCTGCCACTTGCAGAAGTGTTGCCGATATACCTTTTTTCTCGTTTTTATTTTAATTTATATAATTTTTATGTTCTGATAATTACAATTTATAATAGCTCTTGTGATTTCATAGCCAATCTTTGTTCTGACACTAATATAGGTACTGAAATAGTACTCAAATTGTCACAATCACACAAGCAGGTGTACATTTTCACCTGCTTTGGTCATTTACTATCTAGAAATATATACAAAGTATTTATAGGTCTCAGCAATGTTTTAGACATGCTGGAGTATATATATGAAACTTCTTGAAGCATGGTGTTTATTATGAGTGTCACTAAACTGCTGACAGGGTAAGCAGGGGAGTGACACAATGAAAGTGCACTGCTGCAGAGAACCCTGGTTTTATTTGTTTACACTGTTACACACAAACATGTTTGTCTGTTTGTCTGTTTGTCTGTCTGTCTGTCTTTGTCTGTTTGTCAATCTGTCTGTCTCTCTGCTTATCTTTCTGTCTGCCTGTGTGTTTCAGAATTTTTATTGACCTAAGGAAAGCTTCTGATATAGTAGACCACGGCATCCTACTCTACAAACGTCAGTTGACCATTGAGGCCATGCGCTTGCATATTTCAAATCTTACCTTACTAATAGGTATCAGTATGTCACCATTAAAGACACAGCATCAACAACACGGCCACTTGATACTGGAGTTCCGCAGGGAAGTGTCCTTGGTCCCCTGCTCTTCCTCATATACATCAATGATCTTCCAAACGTATCCCAACACCTGAACCCCATTCTCTTCGCTGATGACACGACTTATGTCATCTCTCACCCTTATCTTGCCACCCTCAACACCATTGTTAATGAGGAGCTGATCAAAATATCGACTTGGATGACAGCCAATAAACTTACGCTTAACACTGACAAAACCTACTATATTATGTTTGGTAGCAGAGCAGGAGTTGCGCAAATTAACATTAAGATTGACAACACTAATTGCCAGACATAATGAGGGCAAATTCCTAGGCCTATACCTTGACAACAACCTGAATTTCAGCACCCATATCCAACACATAACCAAAAAAGTATCCAAAACAGTTGGGATCCTCTCCAAGATACGATACTACGTGCCGCAAAATGCCCTTCTCACACTGTACCACTCAATTATTTATCCATACCTCACCTATGCTATTTGTGCTTGGGGATCAACTACAGCAACACACCTAAAGCCAATAATAACCCAACAAAAAGCCGCAGTAAGAATAATCACTAAATCCCATCCCTGGCAACACATCCCCCCCACTCTTCATAGATCTAAACTTACTCCCTGTTCAGTACATCCACACTTACTACTATGCAATCTACATCTACAGGACCTAAAATTCCAATATTAACCTTGACCTAAAATGCTTTCTTGATAGTTGTGACAGAACCCACAGGCATAACACCAGACACAAACATCACTGACATTCCTTGTGTCCGACTAAACCTTTACAAAAATTCATTGTATGTCAAAGGCCCTAAAATCTGGAACACCCTACCTGAAAACTCTAGAACTGCAGACACATTCATCACCTTCAAAACTACCATTAGAAAACATCTTATCTCCCTGATACACCCCGTCAACTAATTACACGAATACCACCTGGTGGTTCACACTTACTCACTCGCCCATTTGACCATAAACAGAAATATCAATCTCAATCTTCAAATAATGAATCCTAACGAGTCATAAGTTGGCCTGTGATACTCCAATACTGAAACTATGTATTGTGCCAAAACAAAAGCATTCACATTGCTAAACTCACAAACTAGTATTTAGTCACTTAGCCATAATACCAACTTACCTCATAATTTGTAATATTTTAAATTTAAGAATTAATCTAAGTCTGCCTGAAATGCCTAGCCATGCTAGGTGTCCTAGTGGCACCCTCTGTAATTAGTACAGTGGACCCCCGCTTTATGATCACCTCCCAATGCGACCAATTATGTAAGTGTATTTATGTAAGTGCGTTTGTACGTGTATGTTTGGGGGTCTGAAATGGACTAATCTAATTCACAATATTCCTTATGGGAACAAATTCGTTCAGTACTGGCACCTGAACATACTTCTGGAATGAAATAATATCGTAAACCGGGGGTCCACTATATTTTACTACATGTAAACCACACAATAACAAAATTCTGTAAACTCAGCATTGTAATCCTTATAGAGAATAAATTTGGAATTTGAATTTGAATTTTGTCTGCCTGCATGTGTCTGTCTTTCTGTCTGCCTTGGTCTTTCTATCTGCCTGTGTGTCTCGGTCTTTTTGTCTGCCTGTGTGTGTCTGTCTTTCTAGCTGCCTGTGTGTGTGTGTGTGTGTGTGTGTGTACTCACCTATTTGTGGTTGCAGGGGTCGAGTCATAGCTCCTGGCCCCGCCTCTTCACTGATTGCTACTAGGTCCTCTCTCTCCCTGCTCCATGAGCTTTATCATACCTCGCCTTAAAACTATGTATGGTTCCCGCCTCCACTACTTCACTTTCTAGGCTATTCCACGGCTTGACTACTCTATGACTGAAGAAATACTTCCTAACATCCCTTTGATTCATCTGAGTCTTCAACTTCCAGTTGTGACCTCTTGTGTCTGTGTCCCATCTCTGGAACATCCTGTCTTTGTCCACCTCGTCTATTCCGCGCAGTATTTTATATGTTGTTATCATGTCTCCCCTGACCCTCCTGGCCTCCAGTGTAGTCAGGCCGATTTCCCTCGACCTTTCTTTGTAGGACAATCCCCGTAGCTCTGGGACTAGTCTTGTTGCAAACCTTTGCACTTTCTCTAATTTCTTGACGTGCTTGACTAGGTGTGGATTCCAAACTGGTGCTGCATACTCCAGTATGGGCCAGACGTAAATGGTATACAGAGTCTTGAACGACTCCTTACTGAGGTATCGGAACGCTATCCGTAAGTTTGCCAGGCGCCCGTATGCTGCAGCAGTTATCTGATTGATGTGCGCCTCAGGAGATATGCTCGGTGTTATACTCACCCCCAGATCTTTTTCCTTGAGTGAGGTTTGCAGACTTTGGCCATCTAAACTATATTGTGTCTGCGGTCTTCTTTGCCCTTCCCCAATCTTCATGACTTTGCATTTGGCGGGGTTAAACTCAAGGAGCCAGTTGCTGGACCAGGCTTGTAGCCTGTCCAGGTCTCTTTGTAGTCCTGCCTGATCCTCATCCGATTTGATTCTTCTCATTAACTTCACATCGTCCGCAAACAAGGACACTTCTGAGTCTATCCCTTCCGTTATGTCATTCACATATACCAAGAACAGCACAAGTCCTAGGACTGACCCCTGTGGAACCCCGCTTGTCACAGACGCCCACTTTGACACCTCATCACGTACCATGACTCGTTGTTGCCTCCCTGTAAGGTATTCTCTTATCCATTGCAGTGCCTTTCCTGTTATGTGTGCCTGATCCTCTAGCTTTTGCAGTAACCTCATGTGAGGAACT